CACTCTGCGCACGCCGAGTCCGAGAGAAACCGGTTGTCACGTCGCTTTTGCCAATCGTATGGCAGTCGGGAAAAGTTCCTGGCGTTCCGCATTACAGGCTGATTACACGAGTAAAAGCCGAGAAACCGGCGGCGTTAGTTGATTCACAGATAAGGGGTAGAATCGTACAATATCAGATGGTATTTGTGCGTTAAACGGGGGCTGTATTGGGAGGAGACACTTTCGAAGGAGACTAACGAACTGCGGTTCTGTAAAGGTAAAAGGCCGCCTCCCTCACCTGTACGCCTTTCTGCCGCTCTGTATTCAACAGGGCTTAAGCTTTTTAGCGTCGCTTATCATAATAATGTATTACTATGGCAGGATAAGCCTGATCTAATTAATGCTGCGTATTCCGTTTCGGGTGAAAGTTGTTGAGTTATTTTACTGATTCATGACTTTTTATAAGTTATAACAGGCTGTTGAATGAAATGCCGTTTCACTCGTGTGGCTTGAATCATTTATCAAGTCCTCCAGTCTGATTCCCCGTAATGTTTGAGTGGGAAAAGCATTTATTGCGAGAGCTGAATCGCACCTGACTTTTTCTGCGCTTTTACCCGTTTCATTACGATGTACGGAGACATAATCACGGCAAATGGTAAAGTATATTTGCGATCGATTAAGTTATCGAATTAGTGCGGACATTGTGTTTGGATGTGAAATTACTTGCTAAAAATCTGTATTTTGGTAATTCCACGGTGTATTTTTTCAGTTAAATTTTGTGCAGATTTGCTTTAATACAAATACAAATATTCAAATCTCATTTGCATTAATGGGTAGACCTGCGTTTTGCATGTCCACGAGGAACGCTCCTTTTGAGAGATCAAGTCACACTTTATTATATTTAATGCTTTCCAACCTGCCCTGTTTAGATAGCGTGGACTTATATGATTCTTGTGTAGTTCAAGGTAAATAATATATTTGATTATAATCAAATATAATTAGTCTTATAAGACTTTCCATAGCTGTGATTGTACATGAGCGGAACGTGAACCCAGTTCAGGCGCAGAGCCGAACTTCGTGGCAGTTTTTGTGTTTCCTCCTTGGTAACACTCTGTCCGTCCCCGAAGACACCTGCCCTGCGTTTTTTGGGGGTAGGTCCTTCCCCACCAACCCACCTTTTTGTCACCGATGACCCTGAGGGTGACGTGGAAGTTCAGCCCACAAGGAACTAAATCTGAAAGGGCCATTTCATGGTGTGCCAACTGAGGTGCCTAATTTCAGGATTGGACTTCGGACTGAGGTGTTGTACCTGTTGGGTGTATTTTCTTACGACATCCCTGAAACAGACTGTGTATTCTACTTGTAATGATTGCACATCTAGCGCAGTTTCTGTGAATGGGAGAACTTATAACAGTTACGGGTTTGAGGAAACAGTCAGGGGATTATTGTAAATGTGGGTTATTTTTAGAAAATAAATTTGTGTTGGTGTAATTTGAATGCTGAATATAACTGGCAAGGTATCTTTTCTGCTGTGATCTACTTTGATGTGCTCTCTGGTATGCAAAAGTTGGGAAGTGTCATGATTCACATGCCAATCTGCAAACCTCTTCAGTCAAGTTTTTTTTTTTTTTGTGGGGGGGTGTCAGGTTGCTCCTACAGCTATTGCTATCTGAGTGAGGTTACAGCATTGGTATTCAGTTTCATTTTTGGTGGGTGTGTGTGTGTATGGTAGCCATCTTGATGTGTCTTGATACAGTTGAGGGAGATGAGAGTCAAAAAGAGGCAGGTTACGCCAGGGCCGGTTCAGAATTTCCACCGTGACTGTGACCAGCATGTTTTTACAGCATTGGTGTACCTTCCAAATCTGACAGAAAATTGTCACGCGAAAGACCAAATGGTCACAAAGGTGTTTTGTGCAGTAGGTGACCTCAGGGACTTGGACTCCTGGTTGTTAGGTCCATCCCGCTGAAATTTCCATTTGGTATGCAGTGGGCAGATCGGGTCTACTTAAAAGAACCTGGCGTGTATTTTAATTTAGTGCTAGTGAGATTTCAATTGTTGTTCTTTTTTTTGGGGGGGGTTTAAAGCTCAGAACAAAAGCCTGCTTGTGACTGATGAGCAGTCAGAAATTATGGATATTAGCCTCTGTTGTACATTTGACGACTTGTTCGTAACAAAATCAAAAAAGGGAGTTTGAGCTGGAATTTGACAGGCGAACCTTTAATCTTTTTCAGACGGATGCCTTTCTGACAGAGCTCTCGAGGCCTGAGAGCTTCCCCCAGCTCATCAGAGCTTCAAAGCAAACTATTTTTAACTGGTGTCTGGCAAAAGTCTGGTTATTTGCAAACTGATAATCTTAGGTTGCGGTTTCCTGGAGAACTGGGTGTAGTTATTGATTAGTAATAAAAAAGGTATTGCGTAATTGTCACTGAGTGGCTTTCGGAACGTTCCTCTTCATTATAAGACACTGTATGAATGAATGTCAGCCAGTCACCATCCTGCTCCTAACGTTCTTGTACGAGTTTGGTTCGTTTGTTCTTGGTGGATGTGGAATGGTAGACATTTCAGCTTGCCTCCGTTGACCAAACGACAGTCCCCATGTTCCAAAGCAGATCCATTCCCTAAGTCTGTCTTTAAGATGAATTTGTAGGTAAGTCTGAAAAATAATATAGTACTTAGTTTTATTATTACTGTATACTTAACAAAATACGGTACCGTATGATACCTCGAGCTGATGAGCTTCTGAAGCCACTCTGCTTTATGGCAGTCCATTCTTAAGGACAAGTTGTCCTTAAGTCGGACAGTCTTAACCCGGTGACTCCTTGTATATGCTGTTGCTTTGCATTCTGGGACATGAGGAGGAGATTGGTGGGGCCAACCGTGATTGGATGTGTGTGGGCCAGCTCCTAAGACTGGGGGAAGGGTGGTCAGCAGCTAGGATTGTTACCCTGAGTGGTTAATCTCTGAGGTATGCACAGGGAATGACTGTACTTGCAGTAATTGTTGTCTCTAGGGGGACGCTGTGGTAACCTTGTTGGCTTCTGAATGGCAAGCCAGTTCTCCTTGTTTGTTTCCCTTTAAGAGCCCTGTGCACTATATCAGTGTGATGGGAGTGTCAACCGGTGGATCGGAACGTGGGTGAAAGTACAGGTGGTGCAGGAAGGGCTGTGTCACCATGGCAGTTGGGTGTGTAGCCATAGCGTTAACGTAACGTTAGGGTACTGACTCCAGATGGCTGCCTCCTCCCATTATTGCTGTTTCTTTGTGTTTTTACTGCCCCATGTCATTCTGAACTGATCCTAACTGGTATCAGACTAGTTCATGTATGTCCCGTATCTAAATCAAATAACCTGGGCTTTTTATTTCCCTTGAACCACCAATAAATGTAACAACACAAATCAGACCTCCTGCCTCTCTAAGGGTCACACAGCACACAGTCAAACCTGATGTTTAAATGACCTTTGCCCAAATGAAAAACACAATACAATGAGTATACAGTGCCTGACAAAAGTCTTGTCGCTTAACCAAGTTGTAGGAACAACAAATAATAACTTGACCTGTAGTTAATCAGTTGGAATCAGAAATGGCTTATAAGAAAAGGCAAAGCCCTCTAGATTATGCTTATTATACCAAAATAAAGTTTTGCATCATTCCTTGAGTTTTGTCATGTAATTAGGACAGAAAGGTTAACTTTTGCCTGGACAAAAGTCTTGTCATATACAAAAATAATGTAGAAATTATACATATACTTCATTTAGAATACACAAACATGCTACAATAACATCAGAACATAAAGTCATGGTGCCTTGGGAAAAAAAATTAATAATGTGTATGACTCCCATGAGCTTGGAGGACCACATCCATACGTCTTGGCAATGACTGAAATAACTTGTTGATGAAGTCATCTGGAATGGCAAAGAAAGCAGTCTTGCAGGACTCCCAGGGTTCGTCTAGATTCTTTGGTTTCGTCTTCCAAGCCGCCTCCTTCATCCTACCCCAGACATGCTGAATAATGTTCATGTCTGGTGACTGGGCTGGTCAATCCTGGAGCACCTTGATCCTCTTCAGTTTCAGGAACTTCAATGTGGAGGCTGAAGTATGAGAAGGAGCACCATCCTGCTGCAGAATTTGCCCCCTCTTATGGTTTGGAATGTAATGAGCAGCAAGAATATCTTGATACTTCAGGCTGTTGATGTTGCCATCCACTCTGCAGATCTCTCGAACACCCCCATGGATGTAACCCCAAACCATGATTTTTCCTCCACCAAACTTGACTGTTTTCTGGGTGAATTTTGAGTTCATGCGGGTTCCAACAGGTCTCCTGCAGTATTTGCGGCATTTGGTATGTAGTTCAATGGATGATTCGTCAGAAAAATCAACCTTCTGCCACTTTGCCTCTGTCCATCCTTGCTGCAAGCTGTGGGCCTTGGCAAATTCAACATGCTTTTTTTGTTGTGTTCTTGTTAATGCTGATTTCTGAGCACTAATTTGGCCATGGAGACCACTGCGTGCGAGAATTCGAGAAACTGTTCTTGTAGACAGCGGTTTCTGGTGACCAGTTCTGATGTAGCTCTGCTGCAATTGAAAAAGGGTTGGCCCTGGACTTTCAAAGCAACAAATGGTCCTCTCAAAGAGTTGTCTTACGGGGTCTGCCTGACCTGGGCTTGTCATGAACATCACCAGTTTCTTTATATCTTTTTTTAATCCTCTCCACTTGATGTTTGGATACATTAACGATGTCTGCCACCTCAGCAGCAGACTTGGTCTGTGGTTGAATCTTTGGCATGTTGTCAGAAGTTAGGTTGCACTTCAAGTGAAGGTCTGGTGTGCTGGGGTTCTTTTTATACACACCTGGGATTATGTTCATTACAATATTTGTCACAGGTGAACCTCTAATTTGTGATTGGTTGAATCATTAAAAGACATGACAAGACTTTTGTCCTTGCAAAAACAGGTGTTATGGACTTTAACAAGCTGTGAACATCAGGACACTTTTTGACTTTCATTTTGTACCCAGTTATTAATGTGAAAGTCCTTGGCATTAAATTGATCCATTCATTGTAACAATTGATTGATTAGAAATAAAGTTATATGCCTTTTTAAGTTACTATGTCCTTATGTGACAAGACTTTTGTCAATGACTGTACTGTCATTCTCATGGTAACAGCACATCTCATGCAGTCAAGTGGTTCATCCACTGGACCATGAAGTCTAAATTAGACGTACAGTTCAAATGAAATCAGCTAATAGATTGTGACCCCAGTAGTGTTATTGCTTGGGTGTTGGGGGTGTGTTTTACAGTTATTTTTATGTTGACAGTCAGAACAAGCCCTGGGCATGCCACATTAAACTCGTGGATATGGTTCATGTGTTTACAGCAAGCTGGTCACCACTCCCTTCTCTGGACTCCAGGCAAACATAAAACAATTCTCAAATCCGCTTTATAAATATAAAAAAACATGGCTGAAAACAGAGAATGGGGGAAGTGAGTCTCGCGAACTGTGTCTGACCCCAGGGTCCATGACTACAGGAGCTGTGCGGTCTTTAGGTGGAAAACGCTGGCGGGTCCCACGTGAGGAGAGTCTAAATGAGTTTGGGTGCCCAGAACACCCCATTCAGGGGATAAGCTTGTTCATAAGTTACCGTGTGCTTGTGAAGAGTTTACTGCTCTCTGTGTCTCCCAGCCACATGTCAGAGACTTTTAGAAGAGACCTGCCCCAGGCAGGTCGCCCACTTCTAAAAAAACAAGAGGAAATCCCAGGGTGGATGAGCAACACAATGGCGCAGGACGGAATAGGCATGACAGTGATTTTTACGGTGTTACGTCAGGGAACTACAGGGACTGGCATCATCGCAACCTCAGAAGTGAGGGGATGTGTAAGTCTGACTCCTCCACTCTGCTCCTCAATAAGTCTTTATGCCAGTGCAAGCATTTCTTTGATGTTTGAGGACAACATGCTGAAAACATTTCCACACCTGCTAGTGTCAACCTTAAAGGTTAAACTGGTTCCACTGGCCCTCATGCCTGGGTGGCCTGATGTACGCGCTGCTGCCCCTGGTGTTCGGAACCATGACTGCGCAGGAAGTGAGGTGGTGTTAGTGTGGCTCTGTTCAGTTGGTAACCAGGGAAGTTGGGGTTACCTGTGGGTGGATTTTGGCCAAGGTGGTGGATTCAGGAACTCGATTGAGCGGATCCACCAAGATGTTGTGACTGCTGGTTCTGCTCCTGTCACAGGATCTATCATTTTGGACTTCAGTATTTACCTCCTTCCCAGTCTTGCAATTTCTGTGAAGCAGTACTGTGATTGCATGTTTAGTGTGATCTGCTGATCATCTGTTCTGTTTCTCACCAGACAGGGGGTTTGATCCATAGCCCATGGTCCGGTCGGGCCCTGAGGAGGGAACGTCCTGCAGGGGGCGTATCCACTCTCCACACCGCTCCATTGGTGGTCACAGCTCTGGCTCCCAGTATGCACTCTGCACTCTGGGAGTGGGCCTCGTCGCCTTGGGTGTGGTCATGATCGTGTGGACTGTGGTGCCCATAGAGCCTGTCTACAATGTATCAAACAACAAGCCTTTGGACAGCAACCAGGACTCACGAGGGAAGACCTCATCGGTAGCCTTCGTGTTGTTGGCCGTGGGTCTAGCCATGCTGTTTCTCGCCGTCTGTCTAGCTCTGAGGAACAAGCGGCGCCAGAGGCTCCGGGATCCTCATGAGACAAACTCCCGCTTCCCGAGGCCAACTGAGGGAGCAGCAGATGCGTGAGTGCTGCCCCCTGTCTGTCAGGAGGTCTTTTTTTTTTTTTTTTTTTTTTCCCCCCCTATCATTTTCACATTTTAGAAGTCTGTTCTCACTGATAATGATTGCAGGCTACAACCCAAGGAAGGACGGTTTAAGGCTGATTTTCCGCGTCAAAGCGACGCCATAAGTATGGCATAACCTGGTGTGCACCACCCCAGAAATGTAACTACACGTCGCAGCATCGTAGACCACAAGAACTGTGATTGGTCTGCTTGGTAGCATTCCTTTTGTTATGGAAGTGAGGAAAGTGTAGATCCCAGATGTATCTATATTGCTCATTGAAACTGAAACACTGTTTATATGCAGCATTCAATAACCCACCCCATGCATCGTAGCAACAGGTCTACAAAGGTCAGGATGACAGCACCAGTTTCACTTACGTCCATTAAGTTCATTTGTACAAGACTTACAAAAGTAAAAAGTAGCATAGCATGCTAACTGTAGAAGGGAGAAAGCATAAAAGTCACTTTGTAGCAGCTTGACATTCTTCCAAATTTGTTTACAGGAAGTTTGGAGCAGCACAAATTCAACCACAACTCGATAAATGGATGATTTTTTCAATGTTTCAATTGTGTGATTCAACAAATGAATAGATTGCAGGGTAGGAAGGCAATAAATGCAGCATCCAAAACTATGTATCACTTAGTGTTTTTGGTGGTGTAATTGCTGAGTGACACAGACACACCAGTATACAATTACAAATGCTCGCAACGGTGTAGACCACTTGTGTAGGTCACGACGTAAGTACGAGGCAGAAGCATAAATCAGGCTTTAGAGTGATGGCTTTGTGTGACAGTCCGTACTCTGGGCTGAATAACTCGGGCCAGACTGGTCATAAGCTCGTTTGCTCTTGATGGGCCTTGTCCAAAGAAAACAGGCTAGATTTTTGGCCTCATCTGTTTATTTCGGGCCAGGAATGCGACAAGCATCAAGCAGCTTCAATGACTTGCGCTCAATACTGAAAACGTCGCCGTCTCCAAATACGATGTGAATGACTCTCATCTACATCCAGCCTGTCATCAGTGAGATACTTCACAATTAATTGAAAAATACAGAACAGCCTCTTGATGAAGAGATTGGAAGAGTCTGTAGAGTTACTGTAATTTCTTATTTATTATTTATAATCTGTGGAGTTGTTGTAATTTTTAATATAAAAGTCCATATTCTCTGCCATTCCCCCAGTCTTCAGAGAGGAGAAATTCATACTGACGTGTCTCCACAGGATGGAGGAGGCCCCGAGCTACGATGTGCCCAGTTACGAGGAGGCTGTGGGCAGTGGGCAGTACCCAGTACGGCAGAGCAACCTTCGAATGAGCTCCTCCCAGCTGCCGTCCTATGAGGACCTAGTGGAGGCCGTCCAGAATGAGGCCATGCTCCAGGAGGCTCCTGGCCCCGCCCCCATCCCAGGCCCCGCCCCCGTCCCAGGCCCTGCCCCCGTCCCTGCCGCAGCTCGCCGCAGTGGTCGTTCCAGCCGGCTCCTGCGCCCCCTACTGGCTCGGCGGGTCAAGTCTGAGAAACTAAGCCGAGAAATGCACCTCAACATCCAGAGCTTACCGCCGGGGGGGCAGGGGACCATCGAGCCTCTGACCCCCCCTCCACAGTATGAGGAGAAGATGCCCGAGCTTTGAGAGGCCTCGATCAGCCCTCCTCCCCCGTATAAGCAGACACCATCCTGGAGGGTGTCTCTGTCACAATGTGAGATTGAATGTGTTCCCCAAGACCCCCAGAGTGAGTAGCCAGCCCTGACATGCATGATGCTCTGACGATTTCTGGCACACCAGTAGTTGGGGCAGATCCCAGCAAAATCATTTCAGATGATAGAAAGAACTGAACAAGACCGGACTGAGCTTCCCAAACAGAGCGTCCTGGCTCAGCCTTTTTGTCACATTTCTTCATGATGTAAGATGCTGTGAAGCGGCTTCTTGTCGCCCCTCGTGTTTAACGTTACAGGTGCCCGTGAACCCCAGGAGAGGCTCATCTGGCAGACCGAAGACTCTAGGGTGCCGTTTGAGCCGGCGTGCAGCCGACTGCACTTCCTGTGCTGTCCGTCTCGTGTTCTCAGGATAACTGATTGTCGTTATGACTCGTCCGTTTTCCCTGACATCGTGGGGGCTGGCGAGCGGCCACAGAGGGTTAGGGTTGTGGGTTTGGGGGTTAACAGAACAAGCTTCGTCGGCAGGGACCTGGTTTCTCACAGATGCAGGGATGCTGTGAAAGGGACCACGGCGTATGCCGTGTCTGCGTGGCCGTGATCCGAACACCGGCTTCGGACCAGGGTCAGGCAGCCCGGTGTCCTCAAAGTGAGAACCACGCTCCACTGTCAGTATAAAATAAAAATTGTGGGTGCTTCTACTGATGCTGATATCTCACTTTGGCAAATGTTATGTTCTATCTGGCTAATATTATGTTGTCTTAACGTTCAGAACCACAGCAGGTTGTTCAGCATGAGGCGTAGATTTTAAGTGTGATGGAGTGTAATTGTGCATATGCTCTGGTTAAGGTACTTAGACAGTGTGTTGTGATATATCTCTACAGTGAATCGCCTTGGATGACTAATCCTGGAACTTGTCTGATATTTTTTTCGAAGGGCTGGGGTGTACAGCATATTTGATTAATGATGCAAATCGCTAGGCAACTGATGTATTTATTTTCTAGAAACTGTTTATTAAAAAAGATTTCTCTGGAATAAAAGGAGAATAGTCTGTCTTGTTCAGGTTTGTTTATTCCGTCTACCTGTGCTTTGCTTAATGTCACAGATAACTCTGGCTTTTGTTATCACTGTTCCTCTCTCCTGGGTCGTTAAAGGTCGTCTTTCACGTGTTGCTGCAGGTGACTGTGTACGTGCTGCTTTTCTCAGCTACTGAATTTTGCCGTTTTCCTTTTACGCTTCTAAGGACCCTGCAAGACCAGCCAGGAATAAAGACCCTGGACTGAAGTGTGCTTTGTGTTATAAGCTATTTGCCTCCCTCTAGTGGTCATATCAGGTATCCAAAACACTTCAGTAATTGCTGATGAATTATTGACTCCAGTTACTTTGATTCGGGTTTCTGCATGACAAGCTGTCAGTGACAGACTGGTCCTGTGCTCATTGTTGACTTAAGGAAGCTTAAATGTTGGTTGTGATTCAGTGTCTGCAGCTGGAGGCTTTGTGCTCATACGTGCTGAGTAGACTGACTGAGCCCTAATCAGTGCCTCCACAGCCTGTTTGAATCACCTGCTCTGCGATCCTCTACATTTGATTCTTGAGGCTGAGTCAGTCACTCTGGGGCAGTGAGTCACTCAGCGGGTTAAGTCTCTTTCTGGGCCCGTGATCAGAAGCCTGTCGGGTTCAAGCCCCAGCCTCATCAGAAGTCACATGTCTTTGAGCCCTCCAGCCAGGCCCTTAACCCCCAATCGCAGGGGTGCTGCATGACCCCTGTGCTATAAGACCCCCCCCCAAGCTACGGACAGCAAGATGGGCCAGGTGAAGGGAAGTGTTCCAATGTACCTGTACTTGTGCAAATAGCAAATGGAGGATTTATCATTCTCTTCCTTGGAAGGTCTTTGGGGTTTGGGGTTTCACCACAACTCTAAACACCAAAAAACTATATGTTGAAGCTGTAGCCAGGACAGATAAACAGGTAGGTAGTACAGTCCACTTCCAGGCTGCTTATTTCCTGATCATTCTCTATGCTAAACCAGTTGGAGAACAGCTGTGTAGGTGTCTTGTTGCATATGCTAAATCTGTGGTTCCTGGGAAGAGGAACCTAAACCTGCCGCAGTGACTGTTCTGGAAAATGGACTGGTGCAGGGGTGACCGTTCTTATCCGCAAAGGGCTGGTGTGTATGTGGGTTTTAGAGGACCGATTGGCTGAAGAGTTTGAACAGCTGACCTAAAGGTTATCCTAAAAACCTGCACACACACCGGCCCTTTGCGGATGAGACTGCCCGCGCCTGCTTAAGTGGCTTAGCAGCGGACTGTGCATTCAGTAAGTCCACCTGACAGGAAGTAGTATGAAGTCACGCCACCTTATTGTGATCTGCCATGAGATTTCTCCTATCTGCCACTGCTTAGCCAATTAAATTGAACGTCCCCCCTCCCCACAGATGAATGATAGAAACTTGCTGAGGGAAGGACTTGGGCGGGACTTCTTAACGTACTGCTCTGAACTCATGAGCCAATGTTTCTGGCGTTCTCGCACGTTTCAAAGAGCGACTCGTAGAATAACGCTCACGTTGTTCACATGATTAGTGGTTCAGGGAGACAAATTTCAGGGACTATTCTGCATGTATCATCCAGCGCCGAGTTTGAACACGAGTCTGACAGCCCTGAAGTAATGGTGTTTTATTCCCCACGGCTGTCTAACATTGTGGAGATCTGCAACAGTACTTATCTGCTGGAGGAAATGACATCATGGCCGTCGAGATATCACTTTCTGGAACGTTCCCAGAAGTTTGCTTGTATTCTGTCTGGTTTCTCAGTTTTCGTGGAAGATGACAGCTAAGTTTGGGCTTGAGGCCCAAAGCTAGGGCCTATGCGTGAGAGGCGGTCCTAAGGCATCTAAGGAGCACCGCAGAACCACAAAGACTAACACTCTGGTTCTCACATGGCACCACCCTGCCGAAACACATCCAAGGCGAGATCGAATAAGACTCATCTGCTGCCCCAGAGAGCACTGAGCGTGCCCAGTAACAGCAGCAGGAGTGAGTGGCCCATACTGGTGTACTGCACACGTTTCTCAGTGTGTGAGAGACAGAGATGCCTTTTTAATTTTACTCCAAACACAGCCCCTTCAGATGGGAATCTTCTACCTCCTAGCAGGTGGGAAGGAGTGTCAATTCGATTCGCCTTCTGACGATGATGAAGTAGAAGGTTTGTTCTTGACTGTGGTGCCTTGTGGACCATCAGGGTGTCTGACACCTACAGATCAAAAACTAATTTGCTCCACATATTACAAAGATGAGATTTTAAAAACGGTTCTTCTTTTGGAACCATTCAGTGTTATAAAATTTCAGTACGATAACGGCAGAATTATTTGGATCGGTTGGATTATCATGACAGGGTTCTGCTGCAAACTGCAATACAAGTTGCAGATTTCCCTGCCCAAACACACCTTACTGAGCTCACCAGCTAAATGACAGCTTTAGTAGGTGTGTTTGAGCAGGGAAATCTGCAAAAGGAGGATAAAGGACCTTTATGCAATTAGTTTTCTTCCCCAATGAGGCACATATTTTCCTGAATAGCTCTGCTGTTTCTCAGACCAGTGAGCTTTACAATCATCCATAATCCTTGACTTGTTTAAGGATTCCCATGTCACCTTAAAAAGAATTACGAGAGATCCGGAAAATTCTGCACATCTGACCTGATTCACTAGTGCCCTTTTCATATGTGGACCATCCATACAGGGAATAGTCGGGTTCACATAAACACTGCTAGTGTTAGTTCAAGGCCGTTAACTTCTCTGTGCTGGTAAGGAGACCTTCACCCAAGCAAAATAATGAAAAAAAAAATTAAGAGTAACTAAATGAATATTACATTTATATAGCACTTTTCAAGATATACAAAGTGCTTCACAGAACCAAACAGGAACCACTTCAGCCACCACCACTGTGTAACACCCACCTAGATGATGTGATGCCAGCCATTCTGCACCAGTATGCCTCCCACATAGTAGCTTAGGTGGTGAAGGGGCAGGAGAGAATTCACCAGTTAGATATAGGGGATGATTAGGAAGCCAGACTTGAAAGGGCTACAGTTGGCAATTTAGCCAGGACATGAAGGTACCACCCCTACTCTTCCACACAGATACCCAGGGATCTTTTATGACCTCAGAGTCAGGACCTTGGTTTTATGTCCCATCTGAAGGACAACACCATTTTTGCAGCACACTGCCCCCATTACTGCACTGGGATCCACACAGACCACAGGACAGGCTCCCCTGTTGGCCACACCAACATCAACCCAGTTTTCCCAGTTGGTCTCCCAACCAAATACCGGCCAGGCCCAAACCTGCTTAACTTCAGATGGATTAACTAGTCCGACCTGCAGGAGACATGGCTAACTGGGCATTTTAATTCTGGCTCTGGATTTCTGGTAAGGAAAAAACACTGATGTCGCATTGTTGTGCAGATAAAAACTTCAACACATTGATATTTAACTTGGCGAACAGTACATGTACATGACGCCATTAGAGACACACTAATTAGCTTATCTACTGGCACACCAAAGACAAAATGTGAATAGGGAAATATGTCTTCACATTTAAAAACTCCCAGATATGCTATTCATTTTCTCATACATACTTAATGGATGTTGTGTTTCTCTGCGTGTGCCCGTCTCGCCAATCCACCCCCCAGAGCCAGACTAGAGTGCCCTTTATTTGTCTTTTTCTCCCTTGCAATAATGACAGAGTTTACTTTCCAAGGAACAGGAAGTGGCTGCAGTGAACTTCCTCCTAGCTCTCTGCTACCATATATGGTAGTGGGACAGGTAGCCTAGAGTCTATGAGAGAAAAGAGTGAGGTGGGTTGCCGCACGCGTGCGTAAGAAGCACATAAACCAGATGAAGCCGCTTCCAATGTTACTACGAGCCACAATGACTCTCCCAGTAATGTCTCGTGAGCAAGAGAAGCACCTCAAGGCTCTCTGAGCCAAAATCCCACAAACCATTGAGAAAGAGTAATGTCAGTACACTGAATGGCCAAAAGCAAGCCTTAAGTTATTAACTTTATTGACTTTACTGCCTGCTTGTTATGTTAGTCTCAGTTTGACTGTCTGAGAGTCTGCCAGCTCCTGAAAGCATTAACCCATCAGCAGATTCCAAACAAACGTTCTTACTCATGACTGAACCTCTACAGAGTACCCCTGTCTGCAAATAATGCAGCACAGAAATGCTTGCTGTAGCACATTGCTTGCATCTCCAGTCAACGTCTATGTGTAACGTAATGAAAGCGCATAAGGAGGGGAACATTACACAGATTCATACAGTGGTGTATTTTCACCTAAAAGTTTGATATTCAGACTTCACGTACAGTGGATTACCTGATATCCAGTTTGGATTCTGTCCTACCACCTTCGTGTTCCGCAGTAAGATCTCAGTCATGGCTGGATAGGGAAAGATGGGTGGAACCCAGGGTTCAGATACAAGCTCCTTAACATGTTAAACAAAACGGCTGACTCTGGCTTAATTTGAAATCCTCACATTAATAACCTCTAACGTTGTACAATAAAATGGATCTTAATAAGATGTTTATAGAATTGATCTAGCAATCTTGAATGCATCTAACAAACTTCTCTTGCTACACGGCCGCTGTAATATCAGCCTCTTCCACAGGGGGTCGCCTTTCAGATTTACCCCCGTAATCTGACAACTTTGGCATGTTAGCTGAATGCTATGAGAACAACTGAATTTTGCTATCCATATCAGTGTATTTCTATGCGGCATTTCTCCATGCAGTAATATGCATTTTGAATAACAAATGGCACACCTAAGTGGCTTGTTTTTATTTTTAAATTCTAATGTTTTAGAATTGTGGTATCTTTAGGATTTTATGAATTCGCTAATTTACTTTTAAAATTTGAATTGTAAATATTTAGTACACTTTATTTTATTGACCCGGTCCGCGGATGTTCGGACGTCTCCGAGGTGTCCTTTGTGGGGGGGTGCGTCCTTAAGAGGCGTGGCTGCATGCTGGAGAGGTGCGCTCCCAGGAGGTGAGGCGCCCTTGGGCTGCAACTGCTGCCGCTTCTCTAAGGAGGAAGCCCTCTCGATCACTCTGGCTGACGAGGGGAATCCAGCACAAACCTAAGACTCCCAAAGGGGGTTTTTCCAGCTCGTAGCGTGTTTCACTTTTGGTATTTCGCGGATCACCTAACTCCACTCCAGCAGACCTTAGACGCACCTTCGCGGTGTTTTATCCGATCGTTGATTCGGTTTTTAAGAAAACCATGGCTTCCGACGAACTGGCATCCAAACTTTCCCGGCGCCTGAACATCGAGGACGGCGTGGAGCACCCGGTGGCCTTGGACTGTGACCATGAGGACGGAGGCGATGCGAAGCCCACCACGGCGAACGCCGACTCAGAACTGGGGGCCAAACTGCTCCGGCGCGGGGAGCTGAACGAAGGGATCGGGGAGCACCAGCAACCCAGCAGCAAGGTGTTCAACCCTTACACCGAGTTCAAGGAGTTCTCCAGGAAACAGATCAAAGACATGGAGAAAATGTTCAAGCAGTGAGTCCCTGCCTGGGGTGACATGTGTATAGAGGACGCGCGTTACTTATAATATTTGTCTTAGTAGGTAATTGTGAAGTACTGGACCCACCCTCCCCATAACCGCGCAACTTCGTGCATTAATTTTTGAATTACCGTACAGCTGTTTTTGTCATAAGATTTATATGCAGTGCGTTAAAAGGATCATGCTTAAGTTAAAATGTGCAGTTTGAATCGCCTGTGGGTTAAATGTCTGGAGTAACGCGAATAGTATAAGACTAGCTGTCAAGTTCAGTAACGTTAACGGCCCCGGCCGCCTGATTATAATTATGCGGCTCGGCTGCAAGACCCCGACACCCGCACCGGACCCGCCGTCCTCGGGGTTTGTACAGCAGCCTAAAAGGAGCTTTATTTGTCGTGTTATTCCGATTTATGGGATTCTGCCAGTTAATTCACCCATTAGACTCGGTAATCGGGATCAGACGTAGTACCTTTGCTCTTTTCGCATGGGGGGGGGGGGGTGTGAAGTGACAGGTGCTTGGTGATTTTTCACATTTTGAGCGGATTTTCTCCGTCCAACCTGGAAGGAGCAGCACACTGGCGCCGGTTTCGTTTTTTATATATATAAGATTTGTGCAGCTGGAGATGCATTATGCGCTAAACATGTCCAGGCGCACATGCGCTCCTCGGGGACCGGGAACATAAAGGAGCGCAGACGCCCATAATGTCCTTTTAAAGGTTTAATTTGTAAGACGCCATGTGACGGTACACGGATATGTGGACATTAATGTTTCCGGACAGTGATGCTTAGCTAGTTACTAAGATACAGGAACAGAGCTTTTTACTGCTTAACTACCTTAAGTTTAAAAGTTCATCATATTCAGAGATGGACTGGTACGATTTTCACATTTAAAAACGATACGTGCGACTATCGATTGTTTGTAAGGCATTGAATTAGAGTAAGCATATAAAGATTAACATGCATTATATTTTTTCATAACAGCGCAAAAACACATAAAAATAAATACGCATTTACACTGTTACCACAATCGATTGTCGCACGTATCGTTTTTAAAGCGTGATTTAAAACGCATGCTTGCGTATCAGTTATGTCCATCTTTATTCATATTTTTTCTTCTAATAGAAATACTTGTAATTAACATGATCCCCTCCCCCAAAGAGATAGATGTTTCAGATGTCTGGGTTGAAAAGTATCAGGAAGCTCTTCTGAGTTACCACCGCCTCTTCAAAACCAGCTGGATTAAGCAGAAGTGTCCAGAGCGCCCCAAGTTTAGTATGGGGCAACTGTTAGGAGGGGGTAGGATTGGAAATCACGTGAGATGATGGGGGTGGGTAAGTGGTGGTGTTACCATGAGGGCCTGAATATAGTAGATGATCGTTATAGTGAGACAGACCTGAGAGTACAAGGATGTGGACAGTTAAGACACAGAAATGATCTGCAAATTCAACTGACACAATAATGTTGTCCCTGCTTGTATTTGGCTGGGCCCAGAAAAGCCCCTCTTTGACTGCACAGTTTTATGGGACTGAAGTTATTGAGGAATATGTAGCTTTTGTTCAATTTTTTTCCCAGTTTGTGCTCTGCGGCTGCTCTCTCCCTCACTTTAATCTGTCGGTACAGATTTCTTTTGCTCAGTCAGCATCACAAGGAATTCCCAGAAGCCACTGCAGCGATGGAAAAACTGGGGGCAGGAAATGAAAAATAACTTAACTTTCTATTTATGGAGTCACACCATTGTGCCGGAAGTTCATTCCGTGGCATGTGTTTCTCCTACTTTGTGGAAGTGTAACTTTTACAGAAATCTTCAAGAGAAAACTGTTACCCTGGGGCGAGCTGTTCAGAAATACAGGTTATTCCAAAGCGACCGTGCCAGCTGCCCTGAGGGGGTGATACTTGGTTGTTGGCCTGATGGGGCAGGATGGTGTTTTGTCCCGTTCGCTATCTGGTTAGAAGGACCCTCAGAAGCAGCCTGAGGTCATGGCTACAGCTGAGGCCTTTGTGAACCTGGGTATCTGCAAGGTGGGTCCCCTGCCTGGCCGCTCCGAGGGCAGCGTTGAGAAACGGCGTGTGGGTGAAACCACTCGTCTCGCTAGTTTAGTGGGGAAACTGGTCAAAGCCAGAAACTACACTGTGAGAAGAATGTACCCCGGGCTATGCGGACTCCAACCCCCCGCCCCCTGCTTTGTGAAGTTCTGTGTTGCGGGGGGGGCACCATGAATCTGCAGTCTGATCTGCCCACTTGGTCTGAATCTGCATAAACAGCAGGCGGCTTCTTTAACTGAAGCAGTGCCACTGACCGTAAGTGATGATCATTATCTTCCTTTAAACTTCTGCTCTCCCAGAGTGTTGAAACGGAGCTGCTCGTTCTTCCTCCTTGGCCTGCTTCCCAGGCCGGCCATTGCACTGATCTGGGTACAGTTGGCACTTGACTCACACTCACGGCACGCTGGACTCAACGGTCCGCGCTGCTGGCGTTCCATCAGGTTTCCTTCACGCATTTTGCGTCTAGAGTTTCAGCGATAAGTAAATGCCAACAAAGCTGAAGCTTCCTTCTCTGGAACTGGAACCTGCAGGACTTAGTTCCTCATTGATCCTGCAGAATGGGCTGGTCTGGAGCCGGCAGTTGATAGGCAGACCTCAGTTTCTGACTCTTGTGCGGGCCAAACCTCCATTTACCTGTGATTGATAGAGAAATGTGGTCTACATAGGACTGTCTGTGTCTGTATAGGACTGTCTGTGTCTGTATAGGACTGTCTGTGTCTGTATAGGACTGTCTGTGTCNATAGGACTGTCTGTGTCTGTATAGGACTGTCTGTGTCTGTATAGGACTGTCTGTGTCTGTATAGGACTGTCTGTGTCAATGTGTCCACATTGTCCCTTTTGCCAGGCAGGAAATACAGTACGCAACCAGCTGGCAAAAATCAGGGGTAGCCGCTGGTGGCCGTGGGTGTACCAGAGCCAGGGCTGATCCCTGAAAATACAGACGGCAGTTAAACATTAATTGCAAGTCGTGTTTATCACATGGTTCAGTGTAGAACCTCTGATAAGCTTGGGATTGAGGGCTCGCCCACCACCTTTAAACACTTGGGTCTGTAAGTCTAAGACCTGCTTACCCAATGAGATTTCTCCGTTTCTCTCACCCAAGGCTTTATTTTATTCCAGAAAAGCAGAGTTTATCTCTGCCTTGAAAGTGCACTTTAGTCTCTTGGTGTTGTTGGCTTTAGTGGAGGTTTAATAGCTTCCCGCAGGACATGAGGGGGCGTCTTGTCTCAGGTGGTCAGCAGAGCAGGTGTTAGAGCGCGGGGCCACAGGAAAGGAGGACTCCCATGTGTACTGAGCATGGTGGTTAACCGGAGGGGGGCAGGCTGGCTGGGTGGATTGCAGGCACCTCTGGTTCTCGTCAGATCAAAGGTGCCATTGTGTTCACTGTACATATCTGGGTGGAATTCAGCCAATAAGAGGAGCCTAAAGGTCATGGTGGTGGGTGGCGTAAGAGCCAGAGAGGAGGGAGTGTGGTGGGAACTGCAGTACTCTAAGTGCCAGGTTTATTTCGGAATGCTTACTGGGGGGTGACTGTAACCGCGGCAATAAGTGAACAAAAAGGGGTGTGTGTGTGTGTGTGTGTGTGTGTGTGTGTGTGTGTGTGTGTGTGTGTGTGTTTGTGTGTGTCTCTCTGTCTGTGTATGTGTGTGTCTGTCTGTCTGTGTGTGTTTGTGTGTGTCTCTCTGTCTGTGTTTGTGCGTGTCTGTCTGTGTGTGTATGTGTCTGTCTGTGTGTTTGTGTGTGTCTCTCTGTCTGTCTGTCTGTGTGTGTTTGTGTGTGTGTGTCTCTCTGTCTGTGTGTGTGTGTCTGTCTGTCTGTCTGTCTGTCTGTGTGTGTGTGTGTGTGTGTGTGTGTGTGTCTCATCATGGTCTCCCTACAAGTCAAAATCCCTAAAATAACAACTCTCACTGCATAGCAGAAAGCTTTGCTTCATCTTCTGGTGTTTGAAGTTGGGGGAGTTTAACTGCATTGAAATGCCCATTGGTGTGAAGTGGTACTGCGATGGGTGAGTGTGTGGGGGGGTGTGGGGGGTTGTCTCCTCCAGCTGAGAGAGCAGCTGAATCATAGAGACTGAAGGAATGGCAGCTTGGCTCTCACTACCGTCTGGAATGGGCTTTAATGAATAAAGAAAATCCACCATGCAATGAGAGTGTGCACCAAGACTTCTGCAACCAATGGGAGAAGACATTACCCCATGAAATGAGAGTGTGAACCAAGGCCATTCCAACCAATGGTAGAGGACATTACCATAATTGTTGTACAGTGGCAACAGTGGTGCTGTCCAGTCGTAGATCTGTGCCTTTCAACCAAGGTACACTGCCCAATGCTTTCAGTCCGTGATGATATCCAATGGAATATGTGTATATTTGATGCCCATGCATGACAAGTTATGGAATATAATCCCAGGCCACTGGCTGTTGGATTAAGGTGGACAGAGTTTGACATCTTGGCACCTGATGATGCTAGTGCTTCTAAGAGGTTATTACCAGTCACTATTCTCCAGATGTGTCCGGTTATGGAACCACACCAGCAACACGCACCTGCGCACTTGTGCAATATGATGTCAAGCACTGCTGGACGTTGATCCGATGCTGGCCTGGAGCCCATTGTTGGGAAACTTCTCAGAGCTGTTCTGGGTTAAACTCCAGCTGCAAGTCAGCATGTAATACTGGTTCATGCTGTCAGAAATGGGCATCTCCATCACTAGTCCAGGAAGGACAAAGAGTGGCAACAGGGGAAGGGCTCATGTGTTACAATGATGGACTTGTACTGACCAAGAATTTGCTGTTATTTTTCAGTTGGTTAGACTGAGGTCACAGCAACCTCTGAGATCCAACTGGCCTTGAATGATTGGTGATTAGGGTTTATCAAATCATGTGACAGGTCCTCTCACTCCCCCAAGGCCTTAAACACAGAGTGTATATTATCCTAAGAAAGAAGAGCTTTGCTGGGAAGTCTACTTAACGTCAAACTAAAGTAAGAGGAATAGAGTGTTAGTGTTTCCCATCTGGACTGGTGTGCTGATTGGTGGATGTGCTGTTTTCTATCTTCTCACTGGAGCAGAGATCAGTGATGTAATGACAGAAGTTCTTAAAGACCAGGGAAATGTGTAGCGATCTGCCCGTTTCCTAAGTCCCCCCTCGTCTCAGTTTTAAGTGCTTTATCTGCTACTTTGCTTGGATCTCTGTGATCTGTGATGGTGATGAAGTCCTGATGAACCTGACGTCAGCTCTGACGTTTAGCCCCGAAAGCGGAACCAAGCCGTGCCTGAAGACAGTAAGGGTGCATCAGCCTGCCCTGTGAAGGAGAGCGTGTACATTTTTAGGAAGCTTGTCTTTCTTCTGTGAGCAGCTCAATCCGGGAGCAGCCAGTAAATCTGTGAGTTGTGCAAATGAGCGTAAGCGATGGGCGGTGTCTGTGGTCGAGAGACACGTGTCATGTGCTTGTGACTGGGGGGTCTGGAATGTGCTGCGATGACGTCATCGTGCATGATGTTCCTGTGGCCAGTTCCCTCTGCCCCTCCCCCAGCCGCTTGCCTGTCTCACATGCTGGGCTGAAACCGTGTCTCTTGGGGAGGTTTTCTCAGAGCCGTTGGCTGTATCCTAGCAACAATGATTTTCTCTTTGGAGGTGGAGGCTTGGGAGGGGTCATGATGGTTGAGTGAAAGTGGGAAGAGGGTGACTAAGTAAGTGATTAACCGTATTAACAAGATGTTAATGCAAACAGTTTGGACTTAGCAACCAGTCCACAGTAATTCCATCCATTGTGGCTACGCTCCGTCATCACACCTGCATTCCATCTTTGATGATGATGATACTTTGTTGATCCCCGTGGGGAAATTCTCTTTTTGCCTACCCCGTCTTGCTCTCTGTAGGTGAGGGCAAGCTTGACAGTGAAGGGCAGCCACCCGTGGCAGTGCCCAGGGAGCTGGGGGTTAAAGACCTTGTTCAAGGGCCCACAGACGTGCCGAGTCTCGGCTTAAATCTTCCGATCACAGGCCCCTGAGCCGCAGGCTTCGCCCTCCTCGCTGTCTGCTTAGTGCTCTGGCGATCAGGTGATTCAGCACTGGAGTGGCTATGGAGAACTCAGTGTAATTGTATCTCTGGCTGCAATTACAGTCACAGTAATTTTTAACAAAATAATTTTGGCTAAAAGTTAAAGTAACATCAAAGTACAAATGTGTCATCATTATAAGCATCAGATGGTCTTCAAGTTCAAAGGCATGGTTTTCCTGCTGGGCATGTGACCCATAAGCAGACCACCCTTCCTGAGGTGAGTTTGCGCCAATCGGTTTTCTCAAGGCAATTAGAGGCTGTGACTGGTTGTCATAGCTCTGTTCACCACTCTGTGGCGCACCGCTCTGATTTCTGATCCAAACAATCTCTTATATGGTTTGTATCACCATCGACAGCCCCCAGCCACACAGGTGGCATTCGGGCTGGGATGCTGTGTGGCTGTTTGAAGGCGTCTTTCTGTAGAGCAGCTCAGCGTCTTCGGGGAAGTTTGCTGAGTTTTAGCCTCTCCGACCCGATGACTCCGTGATGGCGGCACAACATCCTCCTTCCGCGCTGAATACTGCTTACTGAAGTTAATCGTTTCCTTTTTGCTCTGAAGACTCCTCTGACTAAGCCCAGAGCCCTCAGCAAGGCATAAGCAGGTCATGAAAACACCCTGATACCAAATATGGCTTAATTTCACAGCTCCCTCAAGCTGGGGGCCTACCGGAAGCAGGCCTCACGGTCAGGGAAACCAGAACTACTGCTGCTGCTTCCTCTCTGCCTGTTGCTCAGTTGCGTGTTGCTTACCCGGCATTTCCTGCGCACTCGTATGCGCCTCCCGCCCCCTAAAAGCACTGCCCAGATGGGTGCAGAGAAGAGTTTGCCAGAAGAGCAATCCCCACCGTTAAATAAGTACAGCGAGGTAGGTCTTGCAGGAGTCTGCCTGTCTAGCATGACTGTGCATGTGCCGCTCTAGGAATTTCAGACGTGATTGTGTTATGCAATCGGGAAACAACATAGTATCATAATAGTATTTCAATATGCTGCATCATAATTTTGGTTTGAGATGTAATCCATCATTGCTTGTAGGACTATCAGAATACGATCTCGCGCATACTGTACAGTACTGTACTAATCTGGGTTTGTGTTTATGGGTGAAGTCACGGGTGCTAGATATACACACTCGATTAGGGCAGCCTACTTGTACATACCTGCTCGAAGACACACGAAAGCAATCATGGCAGGGAAGTTTAAACTGAGATGCCCTGTAAGACGTAGACAAGCACACACGGCCACGTCCCACTGCTGTGCCAATGCCGGAACTTGCCGGCTAGGTGTAAACCAAGACAGGCCCCAGCAGGCCGTCGGAGGTGTGGAAACCCTGCGCTCCACAGATTCCTCTTCTCCCCTTTAGCTTCTGCCTCTGTCCTGACGTGTCTTCAGGTGAGCAGAGTGAGCCCAGTGTGCTTGTGCTGGGCCCGAAAAGTCAAACTTAAACAGGTTGAACATCACAGGTAATAATTTGACGGAAACCCGAGAATGAGTAATTAATTGGACGAGACAGGCGTACCAAGTATCGAGACGCGGAGAACGTTCCGGGCCTCAGTGTAGGAGAGGGTTTCAGGCGACACGTGTGAAGTTTTCTGCGGCTTCTAGGGTGGGGGAGTCGGGGGGGCACGCTTACAGAATGGAAGCAGGCTCCCTGAACTTGTGGCAGTGGGAAGACACTTCGTGCATAAGACTGGGGGAGAAGGGTTGGGTGGGGGGAAGCAAGCATTTAACGCCGATTCATATCGTGCAAGATGGTCGAAACTAAAGCAAACAGGAAGAGCCAGCAGAATGAAAGATCGACAGAGATGTCTGTTGTGTATGTGCGGGTTGGGGAGTGTGTGCACGCAATTAAACATCTATAAGAAGTTCTAATGAGCTGGGCATTAGGTGAACTCATAGGGGCACCTTGTTTCCATGGTAAATATCCATTAAATTTCAAAATAAGAAATATACCTGATTCATTCACTGGTATAAAATGTATAATGCTCATTTGGCCTCATTTGCCGGTTTGTTGGTGTTTTGTCTTCTTTCCCATTTTAGTGAACCTTTGCGTGTCCAGGTCTATGCTGGGTATGGGGGTCCAATTGAAGCACATTGTCATTGGTCGGTAGGCGGTGGTTTTGCTGTTCCAGTTACCTTTATGGTCTGAGTTTCAGTTCAGCATTACAGTTTCTAGACTTCTTTGATGTTTTTACATATTGCAACTTCTGACATTTTGAATACAGTATGTGCGATTAGACAAGGGAGTGTTCCTTTGCTGATAGAATGGAGAAACCCGTGGACTGTGTGTTGGTGCTGCCCTCTACTGGTCATCCATGGTATTGAGTCCTCTTAGGCAGATTTCACACCAGTGCTGTTTGTGATCCTTCCCACCTGCTACTTATGTAATATTATGGTACCTCTGAGTCAGAGTTGGCATGGACTTGCCACCCCCCCTCGCCCCCTGGTGGCAGCCTGCACAAGCACAGCACTGTGTGTTCACAGGTTTTATCCATCTGCACATTTTGAAAACATATCTCCATGACGATGCTAGACATTGTCATGACATCTTCACCAGACACATGCAATGTTGTTTTGTTTCTTAAATGCTCCATCTGCTTTTCTTTAACTGCCAATTTTCTTAGTTTTTGGGGGGATTTACTGTAAAGCGGTCAGGATTTCTTAAGTGTCTTGAAATGAGGGCCCTCACAGCTGACTGGCTGTGTCTCCGAGGTGTTTGTAAAAATATGAACATGCTGTTTGCAGTTTAGCTCTGTAACTTGCACAGAACATCTGCCAAACTTGTATCCCCAAGACCAAAGAATCTGTAACTGTGTGTAGGTATGATGCGGGGAAGGATGGCTTCATTGACCTCATGGAGCTGAAGCTGATGATGGAGAAGCTGGGGGCACCACAGACCCACCTGGGCCTCAAGAACATGATCAAGGAAGTAGATGAGGACCTGGATAACAAGCTCAACTTCAAGGAGGTGAGAGCTCCTCATGGAGTGTGGAGCTGAGGCCTGTTTCTACTCCCTCCCTCTCATTCTCTCCATTTTTTCTTTTATCCCTGTCTCTTTTCCTGTATTGTCATAAGCAGGATTTAAGTTTGTGCCGGACCATAATGTTCTTCAGTGTATTAAGTTGCCAGTTTGTCAGGAGTGGGATTTCATTTCTTCCTGAATGTAAGAAGACAAGATGTTTAGGGGGGTTGTCATCTGGAAACAGACACACTGGAGAGTTAGGACTGTGGACCTTCCTTTTCCCCAGTTCCTGTTAATCTTCCGGAAAGCCGCAGCAGGAGAGCTTCCGGAGGACAGCGGGCTGCACGCCTTGGCCCGGCTGTCGGAGATCGACGTGTCCACGGAGGGAGTGAAGGGAGCCAAGACCTTCTTCGAGGCCAAAGTAAGCTGCAGACGTCCTTCCTGACAGATGCAAGTCACGAGTGCAGAAGCAGCGCACATGCAGCTGCCTCTACCGTAACGTTCTGTCCGAGAGTGTTGAATTTAACCGGTGTTGAATTTAACCGGTGCCAAAGTGCAAACTTTGCCCAGCAGGTCAGCCTGAACTTTATCTTTGAATGTGAAATTCATCCTCTTTGTCAGCAGTTTACGGCCTTTGAGGACCATCCATCCTGACATGAACTAGACCTCACTTATTTGCAGCATGATTGACATGTCAGCCCGTAATATTAAGCTTCTCCACGTCTTTATGAGCCGGTCCCGGTGAGACGTTGTTTGCCACACGCATCGTTGTCACTTTCCACTTTACGCCTCGCCCGTGCAGGTTAAGGCCATCAACGAGTCCAGCAAGTTTGAGGCCGAGATCCGGCAAGAACAGGAGGAGAAGAAGAAGCAGGCAGAGGACAAGAAGCAGAGGCAGGCTGCTTTCAAGGAGCTCAAGTCGGCCTTCAAATGAGGGGCCAGCCTCTCCTCCATCGCTCGGCCTCCCCCATGCGCCCCCCACACCTGATTCTCTGGGGCGCTGCTGTGACCCAACATCCACAGTCCCAAAGTATTTCCCTATGAATAAAAACAAACTGCTTTGTCGTCCCCCTGCTAGCATGGCCTCTGCATGCCCCCTGGTGGTGGTGGTGGTAATCACTTTGTTTCCCCACTTCTGTTTGTGTTCCGTAACCAAATCTCAGCTCCCGCAGCTGCTTCAGCTGGCATCAGTCAGACTATTTACATATCAGGATGTGCTCCAGGGAAGCCCAGCGTATCTGGCAGCTTGTGGGACGGGCGTGGCCGTAGCCGCACAGACCTCCACAATGTTCCCCGGGGAGTATTGGCACGTGTTGTTCGTAAAAATATACTGTTGACTTGTTTACAATATGTAAATCACCTATGCAAATGCCCTGAAGCTGTGTTGTGCCCAGTTCTGTCTCTGTTCCTCTGCCTGCTAAGTTTGTTTTTGTTGGTTCTTGGTCTGATGCTGGTGTTATAACCTCCTGTGTTTATCCACACCGGCGTCATTTTCCAGCCTGATTGATCTCTGCTTCCTGTGCAGTATTGTCACCGACCGCCTGTCGCTTGTTAATGGGCCACATTTCAGCATGTGCAAGAGCAGTTTCTCAGCTCTGAGCTTTGGGTTGGGGACTGCAAAAGTGGTGGGGGGGCACTTTTCCTCCCTCGCAGGGGGCATATTGTCAGATCCTACTCCTACTTTGACTGTAACCTTTCTACAGTATTTTCTCATTTATCTTATTTAGCATCAGGCATGTTCTTAACTGCTCAACATCGAAGTGGATGTAAGATACTTCTGTAGTTGCCTACAGAAGTGCTGGTTACTGATTGTTTCTTTGTGTGAGGGCATTTCCTTTGACAATTATCTTCGTTATATAGCTTGTTATTTAGCACGTCACTGTCGGCATCGAAAACTTTGGTGTTTTTATTTTGCTGGGTTTAAGCAAAGCAGTCGCTTTTAAAATACAATAACAGACTTCAACTTGAGCCTTAAACACTGAGGATTCCTATTGAGCCATCGGGTCAACGAAATGATATCAAGCAAGTAATGGGCCATTGACAGAAGGGAGTGAAAAATAACATGAATTGTAACACCTGTCTGTCAGGCTTTGATTAAATAAAACTATTTTTTCACCAGAATGAAAAAAATAAATAGTTTTTTTAGAGTGTCTGCTTCTGTATGTCCTGTTTTTTTCTTGCATGTCTTTCTGCATGTACCTGTGAATGTCCTAAGTGACATTATTATGTAATACTGCTGAATATGACAGAGTGACTCCCATCCTATCTAGTGGAGATGTGAAGTTTAATGTCATGGTCAGACTTGGAAACGAGCTGCATAACCTTACATGCCATACAGTGGAGTTGGAGCCAGTATGGTGGTAGGGAAAGTGTCTGTGTTATTTCTAATTGAGAATACACCTATGCCATGTCACAGAGGACATTAAACAATACATTGAGCTAATGTTTCTGGGTTTAAATGTTCTGATGGCTGGTCACCAGGGCAAACCAATGCCTCCCTTATTGTAATAATTGTGATTCTAGTTAATTGTTAATGTGTGTTCGTTGCTACACTGGAAAACTGTGCCAAATGTAAGGGGGAGTACGTGTGTCTCTGGATTAAGAGGAACTGAATGGGGAAATTCATAGACGCAAACATGGGGTAAAAATAAGTAGGGAGTCTTTAGTTTTGGGGGCTTACACTGCATGTATAAACTCTTCATTTCTTGACTTCTCATCTTACCCTCCGTGAAGATGTAGTCAAAGTGAACTGCACACGTAATACTTGTGATACAATACTGTACGTGTCAAATATTGAAATTTGCCAGGATTTGAGGGCTGCTAATCTCAAGGGATGCCCTCTCTGGTGACTCAATGATAACTAAAGAACCTTCACACCGCCGATTTTGATTTTTAAAAAGTCCGTTTAGCTTGGTTTCATAAAATTAATTGGATGTCATTGTGTGTTTCCTTTTCAACGTGTAGCCGAATTTCTCACAATTCTCGCCGTTGTATGTTGTGTACGATGGGTCATGCATAGTTCTGTGCGCTTTTGTATTTTAATACGAATAAACGACCCTATATGTTTTTAAAATTTCTAACACAAAGCTCGATTATTCTTGTGGCAATAAATAAAATACATACAATAACCTGTATTGTATCTTATTCATTTGGGTGCTAATCCGATCATTAAAATGTGATGTGTTTTAATCCGACCACAGCATATATTAGGGTCAACTGGCTGGAGTGAGATTTTCAATTCGAGACACGTCTGCCCACCTATTTATATGTATGTAGAAGTTTTATTACCTTGTAAATAATTTGTAGGGCTTGCAATTAAATCAACGCTTTTGTTGTAGCTAATTTTGGGTTTATAATGGAATAATATAGATTTGCCATAAAACCGTGAGTCTTGCGTGACCGTGAGTCAGAAAGCGTGAGTGTCACACCAGATGCGTGACAGTTGGCAACCCTGATATATCAATATCCCAGACAGCATAAGGAACAAATAAGGAGTACACATTGGATGGGGCTGTGGAGGCAGTTAAAATTAGTATTCATCATCTGAAAAAAGAGAGACTTTCTACACAGACAAAACAGTTACATCGACTGCTCGGAATCAAAATAATGAGGTAGTTGTCCTCACGGAGGTTAATCCGCGTAACACCCGGAAGTCACGCAGACTGTTGGCGGAAGGAGGCTGTTGCAGTTCATGTTTGTGTATTCGCGAGTTATGACGCTTTTGTTGTATTTTTTATCTTATGCATAACTTGGGGATTGTTACCAGACGATTAACAAACAGAGACGCCAACTATAATCTCTTGTAAACACACACAAGGCCGTCCCCCGTCTTTCCCAGGGTAGGCGGGCGCTTTGACGGAAAATGAACGTTGATGCCTCGCAGGCAGTCGTAGCCGGAGGCGCATCCTCCACCTCGGCCTCCAGCAGCAGCACCAACACCACCAGCAGCGCTGTGATGAATAACAGCGCCGCCACCAACGTAGTCTTGGCTGCCGGTAACGGTGAGTGGAGCCGGAGTGACCGGAACTAACAGGCAGCCGACCGTTAACACTGCGTGGTCTGACCATGTACATCTGCTACTTAAAAAAAAAAAAGCAGCGCAGTGGTGTATTTACAGCTGTTTGCATAACATTTAGCGTTTATTTCCCGATTATTATGTTGTTGTTATTATTATTATTATTATTATTACATTATGATTGAAGTGCAGTTGTCGGAATAGGGAATTCAGGATGGCTAACACGCATCTAGTGTGACACGCTTTCAGACTCACGCTCATACAAGAAATCTTACGGCAAATCTATATTATTCCATTGTAAACCTAAAATTAGCTACAACAAAAAGCGTTGGTAGTTTGCAAACCCTACAGACTATTTATAAGGTAATAAAACCGTTGCATACATGTAAATGCGTGTGCATGTATGTGCAGACTTGTCTCAAATTGAAAGTGTCACGCGAGCCAACTGAACAAAGTTGTGAACTCAGGGTAATTTTGTATTTTCTGCCCGTATTTGCACTGATCGGATCTCCGAATATCGTGCTGTACTGCCCATCTACGAAAACACTCAACAGGCGATGACACTTGAAAAAAAATTCATGTATACGTTCTGTCTGTGTATTTAAATTCACATCCTGCTGCAGTACCGGCGTCCGCCGCCGCTGCTCCCCCATCGTCGGACGCCTCCGTCTCTAACGGGGTGTACGTTCCAGCTGGCATCACTAACGGCGATGTGAAGCCGGTGGTTTCCACGACGCCACTGGCGGATTTCCTCATGCAGCTGGAGGACTACACGCCCACGGTAGGACGCTTGACCATCATCACTTCTGTCTATAAAAGCTTCCCCCTCTTGATGTGGATTTTGTGTCGTCCTTGTCTAGATTCCAGATGCAGTGACTGGCTATTACCTGAACCGTGCTGGCTTTGAAGCATCAGACCCCCGAATGTAAGAGGTTAACCTTTCCCTGTAATGGTCCTTTTTGTTCCTAGATTCTTTGCAAGTGCCTGACCCATTTGTTTGGGTTGTTTACTGCCGTGTTGGTTGGTTGGTTTGTTTGTTTGTTTACATGCTGGTTCTTTTGGTGTGCTTGAACTGTGCTTCTTGTGCACTGCTGTGTGTGCTGGTGTAAGATCTTCCATCCTCTCTCTGCTCCTAGAATTCGTCTGATCTCCCTGGCAGCCCAGAAGTTCATCTCTGACATCGCTAATGATGCCCTGCAGCACTGCAAAATGAAAGGTACTGCATCTGGCAGTTCCAGGAACAAAACCAAGGTGAGTCGGCATCCCATTCCTCATCTCGCAAGTCCCGGTGGTATAAACTCATTCAGTAAACTCTTCAGCTGGCTCTTTTACTTTTAGGTACTTTTTACTTTTTTTTTTTTTTTTTCCTGGGAAATTTCTGTGATGGGGAAAAAAAGTGCTCACAGTGTCACAGCTATGTGTTATTATTGAAATATTTTTGTTCAGGACTGGTGAGTTTCAGAAATAAATAGTTCATGTCCAGAAAGTAAAAATGGAGACCAAGATTTTGTATCAGCCAACCAATTGAGTGCTCTCTGACTGTGATTTTTATTTTCTGGATCTGAACTGTTTACCTTGGGTGGGTCTGCTTTAAAAAGTTATTTGATTACTGTGAATATGATTTCTTAGCAGTATGAATTCAGTTCTGTCCTTTTTTTGACTTAATTTAATACAATTTAAATGGCAATTATAGCTCCCACATAATTATATGCAGCAGGTCTGCATGTGTATGAGTGGCTGGAACTTTTAGGGTTAAAACTCATTGGTCAAAGTCGGGTCTAATCAGTCAGCATCATTTCTAATGGCATAGAAGAAGGTGGCTTTTGTGCCTCCTGTAAAAAAACCTGTCAGTCCATGTCAAAGGTCACAGGTCTGGAGATCACCCAGTACAAGTAAAGACTAGTTCGTACTTCATCTTTTCCGCATGTGCTTTCAGGCTGGGGACAGTCATCCGCGCAACATTTGGCTGCGGATGCGGATGGTCGCAGTCGGTGTGCATATAGCAGTGATATTTCACCAGACCAGGAGAGGGCAGATGTACACAACTACAAGCAGTGTAGTGAAATTGGTAAACTTTTATAAACAGTTTTAAAGTTACTAGTCATGGCTTGGGCAGCATTATGATCATTTACGACAAAATTAGCCAGGATCCCCAGCCTCCCCCCCACCACCACCCGCTCGGAAAATGTCATTGCATGGATTCAAAATGCCAAAATAGAGCTGCTTTTAAAAATACCGTGTACTTCAGTATAACGTCTGGACAGTATGAAAAATTCAATATGCAGATACCTCCAACCCTCCTCATACAGCTGCTCACCCTAACTACTACTACAACTATTCTTCTGTTTTGTCTGTGACCTCGGATCTGTGAGAAAACACACTACCACCTACTGGAAGTACCTAATCAATTATCTTGCACATGCACGGTTGATGCGCACAGATGTGCAAGGTTTCCATTAGACATAACAATCTGGGCTACATGCGCACCGACTGCATTTGTCCACAGCCAACCCCCAATGATGAAATTTACATTGCATCCCCTCGCCTGCAACTGAAAGGGCCCACAGAAAAGTGAAGCATGAATTTGCATTAAGGGAGAAAGGCCAGGTGCAACACTTGCGGAAGTGGTGTAACAACATATTAGCAATAATAATATATAACTAAAAGTGTGTAATATATGACTTCCCACACCAGCCTTGGTCCAGAGGAGTCTCCAGGAAGGTTTGGGTCTCCTGACCTTACTGGAGACCTAGGGGGTTTTCACTTTTGTTTGCTTGAATGTGATGGGGGTTGTGAGATCAGATGGTAGGACTGGTTTTTACTTCACGTGAAAATGCAGTGCCAGTCCGTCCGCAATCCTGAATGTTCTTGCTTCTAGTACTGATGCGATGTGCCAGACAACTACGTACTTTGATGTCAGGCCTGGTGTGGTGCTGTAGAGCAAATCTGCTCTTAAAAGTCACATTTATGCTGTATAAGAATTTTACTATCAATCAGACTTTAGCACTTTTCTTACAAATGCAATGTAACACAAAGTGCTTTACATAATAAAAAAAATATCACCCCACCCCTACTACCACCCTCACCCAAACTATGTAAAAAAAAAAAAAAAAGGGACAAAAAACATGAAAGACAATTATAAGTAAGTAAATAAATAAATCGATATGTAAATAATAAAAGAGTAGACACAACAATAAAAACAGGAATTTAGGAAATGGCATCGTGGATCTCATAAACTTGCATGAGGAAACGGCTGAGGCAGGTTAAAATATAGTGACAAAAATTATGATTGGCGAGTTAATAAAAAAGGAAAAGGTAAAATTATTTTTAGAATATAATATGATAAAGTTAAAGGAAGAGGAAAAAGTACAAGCAACTACAAAATAAAAGTATAAATGGTGGGATGAAAAGGAGGATAACATTAGGGACAGAATAATGATGAGAAAATAATAGGGCTTGAAAGAGATGAGATGTTCTGGGGAAAAAAGAAAAGGTATTAAAAGGAAGATGATTGAAAGTATAAAATAAGAGGGAACACAGCAAGTAATAAAATGGACAAATACATAAGTAGACAAGTAATAAATAAAGTTTGGGTAAATCAATAAAACTCGGACAAAGCCAGATTACAAAAGTATTTCTTGAGTCTGCTTTTAAAAATATACTAAAGCTAACTGTACACTTGCAGATCACCACGCTGGGTTATTATCGATGACAATAAAATTAACTGAAATATAATAAGACGCGTAAATGAAATTTAAAACTACAATTTAATATTGAGCCCAATACCAACTAAAATAAAAAACAATGTTAAATACTTCCCACTACCATTTTTAAATAAAATTTAGCTAAGATAATTATTTTTGGCGGGGTGACTTGGTGGTGCTGTCACCTCCCACCTCTGGGACCAGAGTTTGAGTCCCTGCCTGGGTTCCATGTGTGTGGAGTTTGCTTGTTCTCTCTGTGTCGTTATGGGGTTTCATCCAGGTTCCCTGGTTACTCTCCCCCATAGTCAAAAAACATGCTGAGATTATTTGGTTGCCAAATTGCCCTGCGATGGGTTGGTGCCCCATCCAGCGTTGTTGCCTGCCTTGCAGCCATAGTCTCCGGGATCGACCCCAGACACCCCGCAACCCTGAATGATGGATTATCTTTGGCCCTCTCGTGTAATGCATTGGAGCCACAGAAACAGCCAATTGTATTGCATCTTAACACTTTGTGGAAGCAAACTCTTACAACTTTGTCTATCCCTCGAAATAAAATTACTGAAACCTAAAGTAAAATATATAACATCTAAATGAGTTTACATCTTTAAAATGAAAACTAATAAAACCACATCCAAGAGTAAAACTAGATTTCAAATGAAAAAAACAGATACAAAAATTTAAAAATCCAAAAAAATAACAACACAGACACAAAAACATACACCGGGCTTTGCAGTATGAAAATATTTTATTTTATTCTATTTTGTAGCCATCAGGGAGTCTTTATAATCGAGGGATCATATAAAGGCCGGTATTTCCAGTCTTTGTCAGTCAACCATCCTTCAAATCCACTAGCCAGTTTTGTTATTCTGGTTGTGGAGAATAGAAAAGGTGTAACAATGTTACGATGGAGATTTGCTTGCATCACTGAGCAGAGCCTCTGCATTGTAATCATTTCTGAGTGTTGCGCGGCTGGGCTTGCACCACCCCTACACGGCATCCAAGGTCAGACCCTCTAACGCACGCTGCCACGTTTGTGAGAAGCCATAAGCAGCCCTTAGAGTAAAATTCAGGCTCTATAGTCACATGTCAGGTCTTCCCAGTCCTCAAGAAATGCGTGATGAGTGACTGTAAAATTCAGGTCTCCCAGTACTAGTGGCATTCAACCATTTATTGTCTATATATAAATATATAAAATGAAATGTATGTATTTGTTTGTTTATTTTTGCCCCTCTGCCGCCCGCCCCCACCCCCCCAAAAAAAATGCAGGACAAGAAGTACACCTTGACGATGGAAGACCTGAGCCCAGCTCTCTCCGAGTACGGCATCAATGTAAAGAAGCCCTATTACTTCACCTGAGCGAGTGGTCACTGCAGAGTCACTGCAGGGTCACTGCAGAGTCCCCCAGGGTCATCACCGGCATAAACACCCCCTCCCCTCCACCCCGACTTTTGTTTGCTAGTCGTATTTTTGTGCACATGACACACATTTGTCTGATTTAACCTGTTTTCTTTTGTCACTTACTGTAGTGAACACTTACTTTTTATTGACAAATAAACGACTACAGATTACTGTGGTGCCTGATTGATCTGAGACGCCTGCTGTTAGAGGCTGTTAACCAAACGTGTGGTGAAGGATGGCGTTTGTCTGTCGTGCGCGGTGGGTGTTTGCAGTGTCTGTCACGGCATGTACATGTGATATGATCGTTTATCTCTGTAACTTGTTTTGTTTCTGTTATTCTTGCGTTTTTGTAAGTGATTTCTCATTCTTGCCTGTACTCAGGAACCAGTAAAACAAGGAAGTGCTTTGGTAAAGTAACTGGGTTGGGTAAAGCACGAAAGCCATGCATTACATAAAGTATGTACTGAAATACTGCAAGGCTAAGAAATGAATTTGTCAGTCTGGCGGGTAAAAAATTAATTGAATTTGAGTCAAGTGAAATGTTTTTTTATATATACATCTATATAATATGTATGTGTGTGTGAGTGTATGTATGTGTGTATATATATATATATATATATATATATATATATTCATTATTTATATATGTTTGTGTGTGTGTGTGTGTGTGTGTGTAAAATATATATGAATACACACACACCCAAATGAAGACACAAAAAGTAATTATCCTGGTTCTGGACACATGGCTATTGGGGTCCGCCTTGATCTAAAGTGTAGGGACCTCATAGTCATTTTCACGGTGGGTGTTTGCGCTACACATCTGCGAAAAAGCTTTATTTTTCAAGCTTTATTTTGGTGCCTAGTTGGGATTTTCTGAGCTTATGTGAGAAAATTGAGAGAAAATCGTTGCGTGTCTATGGATAAGTATTTTTTGAAAGGAATAACCAAAAGGCATAGCTTGGCAGAAAGAGTAGCAAAAATGCTTTATTTTTGTGACTAAATACTTGAATGTGTCAAGTACTGAAAAGCATTTGGGGTGTTTCCGCTGGGCAATGTGCTTTACCTGCTGGTACCTGCTAACACTGTCTTGTCTATTGCTTTGCCCTGTTTTCTGTAGTGGTTAGGGTGTCATATTGTCTCAGCTTCCATATTGATGCAAGCGCCGCTAAATTTGAGGTTTTATAGTTTTTGCAGGTGTGCTCTGCGTTGGCCAGGGTACATGCCCTATATAGACCCTTCCCCATTGGCTGGCAGTGTAGTCCTGTGTCTCTGACTTCGCCCAGCCTCCAGATGACGTCAGTGCTGTAAGAATCGGCCTGCTGCGGGGGCTCCCCAGTTTATCGGGGGCCCGTGGCAGGCAGCTGGCCGGATACGATCATGTTTATTCTTGTGTAAAACATACGACGAGCAGGCACCTACCAAAACGATTACTACTACCGTATTAAGAATTTGGTGTGTTAAATGAAATCAAAAGCGAAACTTTGGGATTGAGCCATAATTGGGCATGATCGGCCTGTGAGGTGTTCCCTTGCTAAGAATCTTGTCCTCCTACATTTCAAAATACTTGTTTTCTTTTGAGTTATCTGTCATCTTCCCATCAGACTCCCTGCTCTGTCCTTTTTGTTTTACCCCTTTATGTAAATCAAGTACATATTGCTATACAGTGGAGTTGCTTTACATCAGCATTCATATGCGCCCCTCCCCCCCCCCCCCCCCCCCCCCCCCCCCCCCCCCCCCCCCCCCCAGTGGATGATCCAATGAATGGGCAACAAGAAACCGGTTCTTGCTGGCGGAAGAGAGCCCATTTCCCTACATTTTATGAATGCTAGCTGTACCTGTTATGAGTTCAAAGGGAAATCCACTATTATATTAGGCTGCCAGATAGATGATAGAGAAAGAACGAAATAAGAACAACACACACAAGGAAACATCCATCCTATTGCAGTATGAGACTCTGAGTACAATGCGTACAATATGTCAGTCCGAGGTGGAGTGCTTAGTGATCTGCCCTAAGCATAGTTCTGCATAGAAGACAGTCATTCAGGGGGTGGGGGGTGGGCACATTCGATGTGTATGTGTGGTACTCCTGTAAGAGAAATGGGAGCCGTAATTTTAGTACATTTCGTGTTTTCTCAGTTTTGCGGGTCTGCAGCTAACAGACACTTTGATTCCCATCAGTGCAAATTTAAAGGTGAAGTTGTAGAAAGTTGGTTTCAGAGTGTGTCCCCCATGGAGTTGGTTTCAGTTAATGGATTTATCTTTTAAGCAGTTTAAGGGTTAAAATTCATGATACTGGACAGCAGGTGGGTCACAGTCCCCCCCGGTGTTTGTGTGGGTTTGATTTCAGTGTGTGAAGTTTGCTTATTTCTCACGTGTTTTCCACGAGTGTGGCTCAGAATGTGTGACCATGCAAATGTCCTGCATGACATTTGATTCTCCACTCCTCCATGTCACTGAAACCAGATGTATTGAATGACAGCAGGTGTATTACAAATATTGATATTGGCATTTATGAGTGAATTTTATTATGTTACACTTTATGCAATTAGCTTGAATTCAAATACAAAAATATTTTGTAAGTCACGAAATGTAAAATACCATGTATGCTTTTGCCAAGTGAGCTGAAGGAACAGTCCAAATGTGCTCAAAGGTCAGGTACATTGCTGCATGATAACATAAAACATATCTCCTAACTTAGACCCTTTTGTCTGTGGTTGAAATTTAACCATTGACTTGCTGATAAATGTGCACGTTATCAGATCCTGTAATCTTCCGGTTTTTGTGCATAAAAATGCTCAGTTTTGTCTTTGGCATCATAAGATACTTGTGTCTGATTTTTTTGGAGTCTACCTACTATTGCATGCTACTGATGAGCTGCTTCCACAGACTAGCCTTTCAGAAGGGATTCTAGAAACTGACGTGTGTGAGCGTCTGACATGAGCTAGCACACTTCCTAGCTGGAACAGAGGTCCACCGCAATCAACCTTGATCGGTCTGTGCCCTCCGGTGGTTAGACATGCTCGATGGCCGCTCTTGTCTTCTTGGAGATGGTGAAAATGCCACGGGCAAGCCGGTCCTGGTGGACAAGCGCCCAGCACATCTCCCAGTCGCAGATTTCATCGAGGGTCGAGACAGAGAGCCTCGATGCCTCGCCGCTGGATGCAAAGATCATTCCAACCACCAGGCTATTGGCGCACATCAGCCAGAGGAGATTAAGGCTGATGTAAGAGGGCGCATTGAAATCCAGGAGCCAGAAGACTGTAGTAACGCAGAGAAAGGGGCCCCAGTTGGTTGCGAAACCAAAGACATGGCTGAGGAAGAATGCTGATCCATTCACCCTCTCCTGCCCTGTCCAGGAGAAAGCTAGACTCATCCCTTCACTATGCAGATCCTGAAGCTTCTTATACTTGAAGGTCAGATCACTATGTTCAGGGGTTGGACAAGAGTCTATGTACTTGAGGCTTGCTCTGATCCACGTGGTTGCTTCTTGGTGGAATGTTAACAGCACACACAGAGTGAGTAAGCAGAGTCCAATGCTGAAGTAAGTCACTACAATGGAGTCCTGAATCATGCACAGCTGATAGCGGTTGATGTGCCACACCACCGTGTTTGTGACAAAGGAGGAGTAAAGGCAGGCCAGTGCCCAGAGAAGGAGGACCAGTATGAAGTATGCAAGCCCACTACGGGTGTGCGTGAGGGGAGCTCCGAGCAGCAGGTGAGAGGCATGATCCAGTGTCCCCAGGAACAGAACTGGGAGTGGCAGCACAGAGTAAATGGTTGAGGCATGAGCCAACACAAAGCACATGCACTGCGCGGTGTCGACGTGCTCCCCGAGGAGCCAGGGGATCGTCACCGCGGAGAGGAGCAGGCCGTCAGCCAGGAGCACAGAGTGCGCTATGTATCCCATCAGCGAGCTTCGCAGGCTCCGGGAGCAAGATACAGCCACCAGAATGTTGAGGAACACCTTCAGGAACAGGATGAGCATGAATTGTAGGGTGTTGTCCTGCCTGGAGACCCCATCTGCCCCCAGCACCCCAAACACAGTCATCGTCCAGCCACTGGTGTTCGCCTCACACGCGGTCATTCCGCTCGCTGTCCTCTCATCCTATGACGCCTGAGGGTGGAACACAAACAGCACAGCTAAAAGACATATTTTTGCTCTGTCCTACACATAAGAGGGTTTTATGCAGGGGTGTAACTTCACAATTTTTTGCTGTTAACCAACTGAGCTAGTTCAGTAAAGAAACATACTAGCTACATAGTTCAAGCAGTGGGCTGTTGGAGGAATCACAACAATATGTACAATGGAAGATGATTAGTTCAGTACTTTTGAAGTATCAAATAGAATGTGACATGTACCTAGTTAGGATAATGTTGGAATCAGCAAAGAAGACAATAACGAGAATGTGCTAGAAATGTAACCGTCCTCCTGAGGATCAGTGGCTAAATGTAATTGAGGATATTTTGATGGAGCGATAACATTTATTTATTCTGTATGGTTAGCTGTTTTTCGTGAGTGTTTTGAAAAACAGAACCAGTTTACGTCACGATAAAAGGTTTCTGCCAACCAAAACCTTACAGCAGAGATTGCCTATTGATAGATTTCTTCAATGAAACCTCAGGTTCTTTTAGTTGAATGATGAGGCAGGTTCCTTAAGCTTAAGCAGTTTATTAAAACAGAATGAAGATGTTACAGAAAGATGTTTCACACGGCCGGTTCAGTGTCTGTCTGTATCTGTCTCTGCCCCCCCTGAGGGAAGCAGGCCCTTTATCTATGGTCTTCGTACAGACTCCTGGAGCCGGGGGGGTCAGACGGCCTTGGTGAGAGTAAGTTGTATGAGATAGACAAAGAACATGATGAGCGAGTAGCAAGGGCAGAAAGAAATATAAAAATAAGAAATATGAAAGATATAAATGAATGAACTTAACATAATTAAAAGTGTGTTAGATCTCAGGAAGATCTAATATTGTACATATTAACAAAATTTAGCAAACATAGTGAAAGGGTTTGGAACACAAAAATGTTCGGTGCACATCTCTGCCTGTGGACATTAAAGGTCTGTGATTAAGAATTGCCCGGCTTCCTTTTGTTGAAAGATATTATAGTCAGGAAGCTGAATATTGAATATAAAGCTAACCGTACCAAGATGACTGGATTCTCATGGAGAAGTTATTTTGAGAGTTTGGGAAAATACACTAATTATCTCTGGTCCAAGTGCTGCTCGTGACCCATAAACCTTCACAAAACCTGCTCAGGAGCAGGTTATTCATGTAGCATGAGATACGGTGGTGATTTACCCCACTAAGAAAACCAGTAAGCAAACCAGCATCATGGTAATCAGAAACCCGGATTTACCCATGACAAGCCTCATAGTTATCCGGCGAAACAAGAAATCCTGTTTTGTGATACAAGCCCCTCAACCGCCCAGATACAAATAACTTAACATGAAATAAGCTTGCCTCCTGATCCCAAACCCAGTGCCTGGATGTTCCAGCTGTAATCAATTACTTGCTCTCTTAAGCCTTTTCCTGGGTATCTGTTTGGCTGATCCATCTGAACAAATTAATAAATAGCCTTAAACCAGGGTTCCTCAGTGCACTTTGCAGTAACATTTTTCAGACCTTTTAAAGTAACTGCCTTAAACCACACAATTTGTGGCAACCCTTCCTCTGCCGGTATGTCTTGCCTACAGCCAGCTGTGCTGTAATTCTATCAGCAAGGCTTAAGGCATCTGAAAGGGGTTGCTGTGGCAAACATGGTACAACAAAACGTTCAGGTGTGAAAGATGAGATATGACACGCATACCAGACAGAAGTGAAAGACAGAGCATGAGAGGTGGAGATATATGTGAGGATTCCTGTAGTTGGAGCCATATGGGAGGTTCCCCACTTCCCAGTCCCACAGAGAAATGCGACCCTTTAAACAAACTCGACACATTAATGAATCTCTTACATGTGATGTCATCGGGTTTGACTCGTTGAGCAGCCACAAAGGCTACATCTTAACCTGCCAAGTACACTGTGATCTCTAGAGTCTGCTGTGCACCCTGGTTGCAGTGTCCCCCAAATGTGCAAAGGTGTCCCTATAGCAGTGGGTAGGGTGAGCGTGGCTCCTTACCTCAAACTTCAGTTCTGGCATGTGGTGAGCTGAGACGGCAGCAGACAGGCTCATCTGCGGCACCCGACACAACACGCTCTCTTTTATTGGTCTTTGGCACTGCAAACAGGAAGGATTTCTGTGCCACGCCCATCTTGCCTCTCTGAAGTGTAAAGTGGAGGGTTGAGCCGCTCGTGGGCGGGTTCTTGAGCCGAGAGTCTCACTGAACGTGAGGGACCTGCGGATTCATCCCCTGGGGCTCTCATGTTTATCGCAGATACTTTTTTTTATATTCTGGAGAATCTCTTGTCGTTTTAAATCTGAAGCAAAGCACACAGACAAGTAAGCGTAAGATAAGTAAGTAAATGCGTCATAATAGCTCGGATCATTAATTGGCTACAAAATCTCCTCTATTTCCCCATGCCACTTCCTGTTATCTCTGCAGTGTTATTATCATTCACAGAACAGCAGCTGGACGTATAAAAACTTTTATACATGCTATTGCCGAAGTCACCAGTGGCTGTATGGCTGAAAACCGGCACTGTCTGGTCCTTATTTGAACTCTTGTTCTCTCTTTAAAAATGAAACTCAAAGCTCAATGGCCTGATCAGAAGCCTCCTCCCTAATTACTCGTGTCACACCCATGAGTGAATATTCGTATCTGCAACGTGTTCTCAGATTTCCAGCTCAAGCCGTTTGGTCAGTTGCTAATTGCTAATTACAGTGGAAGGAAATATGTATTGAACGTGTCGGCATTTTTTCCAGTAAATGTATTTCCAGTGAGGCTATGAAAATTTCACCAGAGATTGGCGTTAAAGAAATCCACCCATATAAAGAATTCACAACATTAAAGTCCATAAATAAAGTTGTGTGTGATAAAGTGGAATGACACAAGAATAAAAGTATTGAACACGCTAAGAAAAAGTAGTTTGAAAGTAATTCTACCTCCTATCCATACAAATTAATATCAGCTGTGTCAGTACATATTGATGGGCTATAAGAAGGTTTTTTTTGTTACCAAGGTGTCACACGAGGAACACCGCACAAGTGAAGAACTCTACCAAGATCTTCTCAACCTGATTGTTACAAAACTTATCAGTGGAACTGGTTACAGATGTATTTAAAAACTTGTGAATCTTGCAGTAAGCACCATTGGGGCCATTACCCGCAAGTGGAAAGAACATCAATCCACCATCAACCGGCCAGGCACAGGAGCTCCTGCCAAGGAGTCAGAAGGATAGTCAGAAGAGCCAAGGGCCACTTGGAAAGAACTCCAGAAAGACTTGGAGGCAGCAGGTACAATTGTCACAAAGAAAACAATAGGCAATGCTCTCCACGCTCACCCCGCAAGGTTCTGTTACCGAAGAAAAGGCATGTTGAAACTTGTTTAAAGATTGCTATACAACATTTGGACAAGCCTATGAAAAACTGGGAGAATATAGTCCGGTCAGACAAGACCAAGATTGAACTTTCTGGCTGTCATACTACACACCATGTTTGGTGGAGAAATGGCACTGCATCTCACCTGAAAAACACTGTACCTGCAGTGAGGTTTGGTGGGTGGGAGCATCACGATGTGGGGCTGGTTCGTATCTCATGGTACTGGCAGACTTCGAATAATTGAAGGAACGATGAATGGGACCATATCCGGGAGATTTATGCTGTCATCCACCAGGATGATGGAGATGAGACATGGGTGGACCTTCCAGCAGGACAACGATCCAAAACATACAGCAAAGGAAACTCTCAGTTGGTTTCAGAGAATGAAAATTGTTAGATTGGCCCAGTCAGTCAGCTGACTTGAATCCAGTTGAACATTTGTGCAAGGAACTAAAGATAAAGGTTCACAAGAGGCCCCTCCTGGAATCATCAAGATTTAAAGACAATCTCTTTAGAAGTATGGGTCAAAATTACACCTGAGCATTGCAGGTAATTCGTTTCTGCATCTGGAAGCTGTCATTTCAAACAAAGGCTTTTCTACTATTACATTTCACTTAGTAGTTCAACGCTTTTTTCCTGTGTCATTCCATATTATTACACATAGCTTTATTTATGGACTTTAACATTGTGAATTCTTTGTATTTGTGGATTTCTTGAGTTAATAGCAATGTCTGGTGAATATTTCATATCAATAGGCTCATTGTAAATATATTTACTGACAAAAAATGTTGACTAGTTCAATAGTCAGTTCCCCCACAGTCTAGTCTTCTAGCCCAGTTAAGCCATCCTCGCTCCTTTATTTAACCATCATTTAACATACCGGAACACTGGGGTGAGTTGTCACTTGCCCCACACTAGCAGGGAGAGAGGAAGTGGCTGTAAAAAGGTGGCGGCATGCAGGCATCCTGTTTGTGGGCAAGCCTTGATCACGCTATGGCTGTAATGAACACCAACAGCCTGAAGGCACAGGCCATCACCAAGACGAATTATCTAGATCGAAATGCAAATATTACCTTAGACTTCATATGTAAAAACATAACCTACACATTTCTGGGTTTTTTTTTTCTTCAGACAATTTGCCACAGACACAGACGAGCCTGACCACGGGCGCATTTGTCCATGTACAAACAAGTTGACGATCTCCACATTTACCTTGCCTCTTTGACAAACATTAGAGGGTAGTACATAGTTTACTCCTCAGTCTGAAAACTCGTCCAACGGGTTTTCCAAATCCAGGCCAAGAATCATCTTAAACTTTTTTGACACTGTCAGCCCGCGTGGGGGATGGGGGTCGTGATATACGACGTTTAAGGGTGAAATCACTAAGAAATTCATCCTATATCAGGTGTTTATCTCGTTACAGGTTTGTTTTTGTTGCTCAATGGTTTCTTCTTCAAAACCAGCTGGTTTGCCTTGCAGCAAACATTCCTCTGAAACCCAGGAAAAAGAAAACGTTCCACAGTGGGCTTCCCCCCTGGTCATTCCCCTGCCCCTTGGGGCAGCAAATCAGCAACTTGTTTTTCTCTCAAATCATTGTCTCGCCCACCACTCATCCCCACGTCCATCTTCTCAGTCAATAACTGTGCTCCATTAATAATGTCATGCCATCTGAGACAGATGTCTGCATCTTTTTACATATTCAATTACCTTATTTATAGACTTTGCTTAGCTGCCAGTTTCACTCTCTCAGGCTTTCATACAACTGGTAGAGTTACAGAATCTTGATGAGCATGGCATCTTCACCCAGAGCACCATCTGACCACCAAGTGTGCTTGACACAGGCCCAACAGAAAAATCCGCAGGCAGGGGATTTGAACCAGTGACCTTCTGATCACTAGCAGTGCCCTAACCTGCTTAGCTACACATTGTCCCACCCCCTACCCTGTTTACACACAACTAGGTTCCCCCATGCCACACCTCAAGAGTGTCTGTAACTGTGTTATATTCAGGATTAATAAAAGCATCTATTATTATTATTATTGTATTATTTTTGCAAAACACCTGTTTTTGAGTTCACTGGGTCTGTATGATCATTTTAGCCAATGGACATGTTTTTCCTATAATGATAAGGTGGTCTGGGTTCCCCAGGGTTAAACCAAGAGGCAAGTGAGTACCAAATCAGAGACAGACTGAGTCATAGCTACACATAACAGCCTGGTCTTCATAAGTGATGGGGATCTTCAGCATTAAGTGCTACGGGTGGGCAAACATGCTGGACCAGTTACGCCTATAATGTTAACACTACATATGATTTTCCATTTGGTATCACCAACATATCCTGGCTCCGTGAACGATGTCATTTTACTAAAAATAAATACAAAATATTTTAGATAAAAAGAACATCCCACAAAAACAAATTTTAAAATTGTTGCATCCAGCTATGCATTCAATAAAGACCATTTCAACTTGGGTTGCATACACTGGTTTTAAAACTTGAGTATTATTCCAATAAACCTCTTTTAAACCTGGTTCCACTGTACATTTCCGCAAATTCATCCATGACTTGCTTGCAATTTCAGTTGTGCTGAGGACTTTCTCCACCCTATATTTTAGAGAATGATAGTGGGTGAATTTATCACTGCTGAGATCCACCCGTGTGAGCCAGGACTTGCACTTGATTCCGTGGTTTTGCTGAACATTACTGTCATTGTAGACTACCAGCGGGCCCATGTTTGAAAATTGGGTGGAAAGCCCAAATGGCTTGGAGAATCCAGACCTGATCAGGAGCCCTGGAACAACAGCAGTCGGGGGTGAACTGTTGTCAGGGGACCTGAATTTCTACCCTCATTCCTGTTGGTTTGTTACTGTATTTACCCGCACTGGAAGGATCCGGCCCTTTAAGACTGCTATTGGAAGCCCCTCCTACATCCTATTACGTTTCACAGCAAGGAAACTTTTTGGTGTTGCAGTTGTACGTGGCTGCACTCATGTTCCTGTTTTCCTCCCAGGAGAGATGATAGATTTCTGGTGGATAGGCTAATAGAACATCACATTATGAACTAGTCACCACAAATAGATGACAAACAGTTATCATAGCACACCCAAGAGTGCGAATGGGAAGTCTTGTCCGTTTTAATGGCGTTGACTGTGAACGAGGTGATTACATGGAGCTGCTGTAAAAACAACAAGCGGGAAATTATGACGTGTTCAGGAAACTGCAGAAACAGGAATTGTAAATGACGTTTAATGTTGCTTTATCTTGGCAGTTATTACAGGGGTGCTGTACGAGTGAAATCCTTATGAGCTTTTTCTACTGACACCAGGAATCTGAGTCGTACCCAAGCTGTACCGCGAACTGACGGTATTCCACTGTAAATTACGCGAGTAATGTATACAGCAAACAGCGCACGCTCTGACGTTAAACAAAGTGGACAACGGCGCACAATCTGACGTTTCGAGCCAAAAACTCTGTTTTCCCTGTCTACATGTCGACACTGAAAACGGAGTTTCTTAAAATCTTCACCCTTGGTGGAGTTTTGCAAAAGCTCCGTTTTCAGTGACCTGAGACGTCGTTTACTTGTGAACAAAAGCCCAAGACGTATAGAAAAAGGTACGTTTTAAAATATACCCGTGTACATTTGGACAGAGCTGTGGCCCTCCAGGACTGCAGTTTGACACCCCTGACTTAAACCATAACGCTTGGCGACGCCTTTACCGAGCCGACCCTTTTGCAGTGGAA